AAGCATTTGTGAAGAAATTCACACTGCACATGCCATCTGGCATCGCTGGAACGAAATATGAGTGCACCCTAATTAAAATCGTAAAATTTCTGACAATGAGCACCGCCATTCACTCCAATATCACCCCTGCACCGCTGACCCTCATTCCAAAAGAATGTGCTGGTTGGGCGACATAACAGGTTACCGCTACTGTTTATTCCAAAAACATTGTGCGTCTTTCGGAATTAAATTCTAAAAATATCACGTAAATTTCGTTACAATTTCTCAGAAACGATCATTGCGGGAAAATTGTTGGCCGGGACTAAGATTTTTGAACGATCGATGCGATAAAACGATAGTTCGAGGAACGATAGAAGCGGGAAAATGTAACATTATTTTATATGGGATGTATTCGGGACCGAACAAAACGGACGATGCATCCGGGAAAACGATAGTTCCGGGAACGATGGATAGAGGTTTCACTGTAATTCATGGTTGAATTCTCTATGCTTTTTGATGAGCTGTTTTAGAATAAAGACACTATCTGTACAGGACGTTTCCTCTTCTAAATCCTGACTGTTCTTCCAAAATAATGGCTTCAGCTATTATTTGTAATTTAGATGTAAGAATTTTTGCATATATTTTGTATATGTCATTCAGTAGCCTTATTCCTCTATAATTTTCACATTTTGTTCTCTCTCCCCTTTTAAAAATTGGTAAGATTTCAGCTTCTTTCCAAATTTCTGGGATACATCTCTTCTGCAAGCAGTTATTTAGGAAATTAAGGAAACTTGACTGAACTTCTACCGTAGAATATTTTATCAGCTCTATGTTAATTGTCTGTTCTTGGACTTTTCCTTTTTTGGTTCTTTGAAGAGCTGTCTCAAGTTTCCAGGTCGTAATTGGGTCCACCTCTGAGAGGAAGCCCAAAATCTCTGGGAGAACATTTTCATCTTGACCTTCTTTTGTCCACTGGTTTTTAAGTTTTCAAGCCATACCTTACCATGTATTACCTTTATGTTTGCACAATCTCAATGTGGTTTATTAAGATGTTTTAATATTTTGTAAGCATTTAGTTGTCGTCCATGGACATCATTCTTGATGTTAGATATATAGGGATTCCAGCTTTCTTACTCAGTGGATCATGCCAGGTATTTTGCCTTGGCTAATTTTTGTTTATAATCTAGAAGATGAGGAAGTTTGTTTTAAGCCAATACCTTATTTGCCTGCTTCTTATCCCGGACCACTGCTTTTAGCTCTGGGTTCCAAGTATACGATCCTCTTTTATAATTGTGTTCTTTGTTGAGTATTTCAACCAACCGTCTCTATTCCTCTTCAATATCATCACTAGATGGGTTGCAGTTACAGATACCAGTTATTCTTCTTTCGTACATGTTTAATTTTAGTCAATAACATAAAATGGTCTGACCCTATATCACTGTAATAGCTGCATAGATTCTTGAGAATGAAGGGTCATATCACTCACAAAAATAGATAAATAACATTATACACTGATGTATAAAGTGAAGCCTTCATGACAACTGAAGCTGATGAAAGACTCTCAGGTTACCAGCCATGCCAGCTGAATGGTGAATAAATCACCATTCAGCCATCAGACACGGCTGGTAGAGTTCGATCCAGCATTTATGGCCACTGACCTTGTAGGGAGAGCCCAGTATGTGGACCACTCAATGAAGATAAGTAGGTGAGGGACGAAGTAACGAAGCAATTAAGATTGCCACTTCTTTCCATCAGTCAGTACAGTCTGTGTCAGTGCAAGTGGAAGCCTGATATTGTTGTCTTGCGACTGTGTTGTGTTAAGATGCCACCTGTTTGTTCCAAGTTAGGTTCCAAAACATTACACAGTCAGAGCTGAGAAATTGTCATGAACATCTGCAATATTATGAAAAGAGAGGCAAGAAGTAAAGATAAAGTGACTTCGCCAGTATACTTTAAAGAAATACAAAAAGTGCAGAAAAGCGTGTCAGAAGCTACTGGAGTGTCTGAAAGGACAATTAGAAGGTTTCTGGAAGAGCGAGAAGAATGTAAGGAACAAGGCACTTCATTTGGAAGGCCTGCCAAGAAGCATGACGTCCTTAAGCGAATAACTGAAATAGACAACTTTGATAAATATGTAGTTCGGCATCCATAATTTCTATGCACAGGAGGGAACTGTTCCAACAATTGCTAAATTACTTGTAAAGCTAAAAGAAAGCATTAATTTTAAAGGTAGTTGTTCAAGCCTCAGAAGAATTGTTAGGGACCTCGGTTTTAGGTGGAAGAAGACCAGGACAAACAGAGGGGTGCTCATTAAAAGGCATGATATACGATCTATGCGCGTATCATGCCTGACTGCACTAAGAAGTACAAAGCCGATGGACATCCAATAATATTTGAAGACGAGATTTACATTCATGGCAGCCTTACCAGACCGAAGAATTGGACTGACGATAGTGATTCCGGTTTGTTGGTGCCAACATCAAAAGGTGAGAGACTTATCATTGTTCATGCTGGAGGAAGAGCAGGCTTTATTTCAAACGCACTTCTCAAATATAAATCTAGGCAGAAAACCGGAGATCACAATGAAATGGACAATAAAAATTATGCCTGCTTGGTTAAAAACAATGCTAATACCAAATTTACCACAGAACTTTGTTCTGGTCATTGATAAAGACTTGTATCACAACACTCTGATAAACAAACCAACGACATCTAACTCATAGGACGAAATTAAAGCCTGGATATTGGAAAGAAACATCCCATTTTGTCACAACATGTTGAAAGCTCAACTGTATGATTTAATCAATTTAAATAAGACAAAGCACAAATGTTATGTGATTGATAAGATTTTGACAGACAAAGGGCACATTGTGCTGAGACTGCCATTGAACTTATTTGGGCAAAACAATGGGTTGCAAGCAAGAACACAACATTTAAAATAAAGGACGCCGAGCAACTGTGTTGCCAGAGATTCGAAGAAATTGGGCAAGAGGAATGGGAGAATGTATGTAAGCATGTGGGAAAACTAGAACAAATTTATTATGAGCTAGAAAGCATAATCGAAGACACTATTGAACATATTATAATTGAAGATAATGGAGTGGACAGCAGCGGCAGCAGTGATTCGAATGATACGTCAAAAAGCGAAGGTCTGTCAGGAGTGGAAGAATTGGAAGAGGACAGAAAAGTTGTGAAGAAGATAAAATTACCTAATACTCTATGCAGTGTTAATTTTCTAGTGATGTGTAGTGTAGTGAGATCGAATTTCCTGTGTTACATACCGTGGTGATATTTTATTTGGAGTGTATTGATTGCAGCCTGCTGCCATCCCTTCCAGGAAACCTCTGGTAAGTGACTTGCTCCGACGTTCCAATTCACAAAACGCAGTGGCTAAACACGCTGGAACCAAGTATAACCTGAGAGTCTTTCATAAACATTATATGGTGTCATGAAATATAAATCAGTGGAAATGCAATATATAGTAAAACACTTTTAACATCCAACAGAAAATCATTACTGTAACTACAAGAGTAGAGAATTATTAAAGAAAATTAATATATTTCCACTTACTAACAAATACTCTTATTACAATCATTCATTGTGGATAAATTTAAAAGAAATTCAGATATTACATGACATAAGTCAGAGAGAAACAGAATGTATGGAATAGAATAAATAAAATATAAATATGCATAGAATCTGTTACATTACTCATATTCTTTAGGCTGAAGTAGGTAACCTGAACATTTTAACAGTCCATTAATGACAGTTAATTTTTATCTATAAGTGATCAAAAATCTTGTGTCAAATCAAAAATTTGGTTAGTATTCCATACAATCCCCAACTGCAGTATATTTTTGTCAACATAAGCTGCTGAACACTATATTCTTCTCCAGAGATGCAAGATCATGCCTTTTTCTGCTACTGGCTTCCAAGTGCTTGATATCATTGTCACTTTCTTCAAGTCATCTAACATCTAATGATGCTCATATCAATGGTTTCCACAGACATTCTTTCAGCAATTTAGTAACTACTATTCACTTAATTTCAGGCATGGTATTACGTCACGTGATGGGTATATTTACAGTTAGTATGCAACTACTTACCCTAATATTTGCTTTGGGCCAGTGAACTACATAAGGGTCTGTTGTCACTAAATGGGCAACAATGTGTCTTCCTTTGGTCAACACACATTCCTCCACTGAAACCACTGAAGAGGTTATCAGCCTCTTGATATACTTATCTGTGGTCAGATAAATATGGTGCAGCCTCCTCCTGAAACAACCATAAAAGGAAATGAGAGGGTGTCCACTACCATATAAGCTGCAATTACAAAAGAACAGTGATTTTGTTACAGTAGTTGTGTATTTTAATTACATTCTTTCTTACAGAAATGTTTTCACCACAGATCATATTTGGGATACACTGATCTGCTTTTCGAATTATGCTATTTAAATACACATATATATTATTTCTGTGCCATATCCTACATTACGTGTATAATCCTCTACAAGATTGATAAATATTAAATTACAATGTTATTTTGCTGATCATAACTAAATTCTGGGAGCAATAACTTGGGAAAATTGGCCTACTTCATTCTCATTAAATACTGCCTTAATAACAAAGTATTATAACTGACTGAACACAAAACACTGTTCATTACCTGCAGACACCAGATGGTTATGGCCTGCTGCAACAGTTTGTGGCTCATCACTTTTGCTTAGGTGGTCTTTTCAGTTGTTGTAAAATCACTTTCTGAAGTGTGACTCCTGCATACATACTTATTATGCAGCATTCTTGTACTCTTCCTGCCCATAGCAATATAAAAGCATAAGATCCTGTATTACAACTAAACATAATTGTTCATCAGTCAAGACAAACAAACTTGGCAAATAGTGTGGAAGTTTGGAGTTATATCAAAGAAATTTTAACGTAGAGGCAGCTAAACTAAATCGTGATTGGAATAACAGATTTTTAGGACTAGCTGTCTGTAATTGGCAAGTAGTCTTTGTAGTTCTGCACGTAATAGCTTATTTGGTATTTGTAAACATTTAATAGTGCTCTGTTATAGGTTATTTAGTACCAAAAAAACTGGTTATTACGATCATTATAATAGAAATTTTCGTACGAAATCCTCACGCAACACGAAAATGAAATAATTACCAGTATACCAGAAACTCAAAATGATAACCTCTGAGCTTACCTTCCTATGGGGAGGACAATATGCTTATCGCTAGGTTAACTATGCATGTCACGTTGGCAAGATTGCATCTTACATCAGTTTTGGCGCTATGTTATTGAAGAGTTAAGCTGTCTTCGTGTAACGTCAGTCGCAGACGATACTTCCCAAGTTTGTCGCTTAAATGCAGTAAAGTAGTATGATAATTCACGTTAACCTAAGTTCCGAAGTACTAAATAAAATATGGATGACAATCACGTTGTAGATGTTGTAAGACAAGAGATTGTGAACCATAACCTACTTATTAAGGCCCTGATTCAGGTAATTTGTTTTATGTAACATCCCGTATTGTTGATATATTTATATATGCTATGATGAATTCGTATTAGTTATATATATATTGCTTTCATTGTCATTTTATTGTCACCCAGCACTTTACAATGTGTCGTAAAATTACCGAATTTATAAATTGCTAGATACGAGACCATGACACCAATTTAATTTTAATTTGAATCTCTATGAAGCTTAACAGATAAATTTTATATTGGTGAAAGAATCATGTGAACAGCATGTCTTTGTTACTCTTCTGTGTTGTAATGCTGTGTGGAGTTGTAGGTAGATACCAACGTTTCTGAGAAAGTACTGCCTCCATCTTCATCCTGAAAATGGAGGCAGTTTGTTGATCTGAAGTGATGGTAACACCCTGCAAGTCCACTTGGCATTACAACTGAGAAGACAAGCATTGAGAACCTCAGATTTGATATGCTCCTGTGAAGACTAGTTTTGACCATATAATATGTTCCAAAGAAAATAACTATTATGTTTTGTTCTTTGGGGGCAGTGTATTACACTGTCGAAATCTTCTCAGAGTGATAACTCTTTCCAGAGCAACTGTCCTACTGTTCAGCACAGCTGCTCTGGAAAGAGTTATCATAATCTATTTTAAGGTACATTTCAACATTTGCCTGCAGAAACTAAGGAAAACCATGAGAAAGCTTGGTAAAAGTAGCTGACTACTCAGCTGTGACATTTAGTTTGGAGATGGGTGAAGGAGGGGGTATAAAGTGGGAACAGTTGACATGAACTGTAAATCACCAATCAAGTCAAGGTTCCAAGTTACAGAGCACACATTTGTCACTTTTGGCAATGTACATTCTTAGGATCATATTCTATCTACCATAACTTGAAAATTGTATTGTAATTTTGTTAGAGTTGTTATTTGAATGATACAAAAAATCTTGCAAAGATTAAAACAGTATAAAATAATTATTTTTGGAATATGTGTTGATGAGTAGTTTTCTCTAACTAACTAGATGGCTTAGGGAACCCAAAGTTTCATCACCAAATTAACCAGACCACTCCACTAGTCCCTGTTCTGGGCCAGCAAAATCTGATTGCCTTCAACTCCTATCTCCCATAGATCCTACTTGATATTATCCTCCCATCTATGTCTAGGTCTCCCCAGCATTCTCTGCCCTTCAGGCTTCCCTGGCCAATACCTCTTGCCCCATCCATGTACATCACATGCCCTGCCCATCTCATTCTTCTTGACTTGATCACTCTGACAGTGTTGGGGTGGAGTACAAATTTTTAAGCTCATCATTATGCAGTTTTCTCCATGCCCCATCCTCTTCTCTTTTAGGCTCAAATAACCTGCTCAACACCCTATTCTTAATCACCTGCAATCTGTGTTCCTCCCTCAGAGCAAGAGACCATGTTTCATACCCATACAAAACAACAGGCAAATTTATTAATTTGTATATTTTAATCTTCAGGTTCTTAGAAATCAGACAGGAAGACAAAAGTAGCAAGCATTTCCAGAATTTAGTCTCCTAACTTCCTCATGAATATCATTTGATTTATTATTGTTGTTCCCAAATATTTGAACTTTGTCACACATTCAAAGGATTTGTTAGCCACCCTAATATGATTTTGCCTGCCTGTCTGCTGAAGGGATACTAACATGCATTTATTTCTAGGCCCATATTTCTAGTAGCTTCAAGTAGTTTTCTTTGCTGGTGATAAATTTGTTTTCAGGATATCTATGCATGTCCAGGGCCACTTGAAGTTTTAAATGAACTGAACAGAGAAGGTCGATATAAGATTGGGATTCTCAGAAAACATATACATCACTTAGAGGGTCTTGCCAAAGAGCAGAAAAAGGAATCAGGAAGAATAAAGCTTTTGAAGGAAGTGGAAAGCCATCAGCAACAACTGACAAGGTAGAAGACAGAATTGTTACCATAAGTCAGAAATGTAACATGTAAAAATAGTCAAGACTTCATCAATAAGTTGCATGTAAGATCACAGATAGAAGTATGTATGTTTCTGCATTAAGAAAATTGCTTTGCAAGGTGTGACTTCTCATTTTTATATGCACTTGGTTCTTAATTTCGTGTTCTCATTTTCCATCAAATCTTTATATGTGAGTTGACCCTGTTCTGCTCTTAATATACTAAAATTAAATGTCTTGTGCCTTACTTAATGTAATAAAACACAGTGTATAAAGAACATAAATTAACTAGTCTGATATCATTATGTACACTCATTGAATTTAAATGGTGTGGCAAAGGGTTAGAATTAATTTATTACAGTTTTATATTTTATCCATTTATGTTCTTATTGCAGTGGGTGCTTTTCTCATGAAACAATGTTACCTGTGCCATTGAATATTAAATGAAAGATAGTTTTGAATTTATTTAACTAACTAAAATAACTAACACAAATAATGGCAGCTGAGTTTGAATGTTTTTGCACATCTACTGTTGACATACCCTTGTGATGACATCTACTTCAGAGAACTGGTGTGTCAAGTATTCAGTCCTTCAAGCATAAAACATCACCAATCCATGTTCATGTTGATCACTTGTCTCCATACAGCAGAGTCCTTGAGATGTTGACAGTCGCTCAGCTAGTCAAATTTCCTGCCTTTTATGGAACTCAGACTTCATTATCATGTTCAAAAGTGACCACAAAAGAAAATGTATGATGCCCTGTGTAACATTTCATAATATGTTGGTTTTATATGGGTAGGGTTTGTTAGCCCCTCCAAACCCAAATGGTGAAACATTTTTATGTATCTGATGAAATTAACATAATCATGCTGGGGAAAAAAGATTATGTTTCTGTTAACTCAAAAGGTAAGAAGGTTCATGATGATGTCTGTGTAGTCTTGTAGAAATTTACTGACGTTTCAGAGGTCTTTGCTGTTTCCAGTCATTGATGGGGGCAGCAAAGACCTGTGAAATGTTGGTAAACTACCAGACTACACAATGCTACAACCCTGAAGACAGCCATTTTCGTACTTGCTGCTGTGAGAGCCTTAAATCCTGCTGATAAGGTTCATCTTCAGGAACAACTGAAATTGTGTAACCTGAAAGAGGCCTAATTCAGTTTTAAGGAACAGAATACTGAGAGTTTGTAGGATGTTAAAAGTTTGCAGAGTTATGGCCAAGAAACTGTGTGTTGACTGGAGCAAGTGCATGCAGTTTGCGTATTCCATTCAACAGAATGTTAAACACGATTTAAAGTTCAAAATTGTATGTGATTAGATTGTACTGGAGCATCATATAGTAGTTAAATTAGAAAACATTATTATTAGCTGTCTTCATACAACTAAGTAATACACAAGCACATAAACACTGATCATATATTTAATATTAATAGGTATTTTTACTATGTGACATGTTTTGGACACATGGTTTTCAATAGACAACTGTCTATGCAACTGTGTTATACTTTAGCAGTGATTAAAGGACATAAAACATGTCTATAAAACCTTGTGAGAACATAAAAACATACAATATCTTTGCCATATGGTACCAGACATAAATGTGTTTAGTTGGGTTCCATGACAAGAGCCCACATGAAAATTACGCACAAAACAAACCCCACAGTCATAAATGCTCACATGAAACATGCTCACACGGAAAAATGCTCACACAGACAAATGCTCACACAACTTATACCCTGAGGTTGGCCTGGGGTTTTCATGTATGATAACTGTTTTGTGAAGACTGCCATGGACATTTCTTTCCTACAGTCACAGACTGAATTTGCCGTGATTAAAAATTATATGATATGACACAAAGTAAGTAAAAACTTGTGACAAATGTTTGTCCAGAATTATTTGTAATGTGCGAAGTGTAAGTTGCTACCAGGGAGACTGTTATATATGTCTAGGACTTAGAACCTAATCATACACTGTACATAGATTTCAAGACAACACCATAGACAATATATCTTACAGACGGAGAATGACTACTGACACATCAACTGTAGAAACAACTGTCTCGTAGTGACTTCCTCAACTCTTTTGCTGAAGAGTTAAACATCCTGCTTTGTCAATCTTTAATAGCATGATGGCAGTCATGCTTCTATAAGAAACTGAAGTTGAAACTTAAAAGCAAAGAAATTGCTGTTATCTGTAAATTTTCTGGAAACAAGTAATACATTATACAAGATAGGTACAAGGTTATTGTTGGAACAATGCTGAGGCAACTCTTCATCCACTTATGACTTACTAACAAAATTAAATGACAGGCCATGCCACTTTTGTTCTTATAGTGGACCTGCAGAGTGAGAAAGTGTGCCCAGCCACTAATAGGATTATTAAAGCATAATGAATTGGAAAGTACAAGGTGTATATAAATTACATTTACAACTCTATTCATGAATAAAACCTAACATCTTCTCCCCCCATGTTTTCCTCATCATGTACATTAAAAAAGCCAGATCCTGAACACAGCCCTCTCAAGGGCTGACATACAAATTCAAATTATATATAAGTAACTAATATACTTTAAGAAACAAAAAAAATTCTCCCCTTCCAAATAAAATTGTTCATCTCCAGTGAGATGTAAATATGGCACCTTCAGATCAGAAGTAAAGTGTTTACTGCAGGACCTAGTCCCACGTCATGGAAATGTCATTAACATTAATTCATGTTTTCTTCACATTAGGCAGACATGCTGAGGTGTTTCCTTAATTTACATCTTGCACAACTAATTGTAATCAGTGGATGGTACAGAAAAGCCACATACGGACAAATACAAGGAGATTACAAATGATTCGAATTATGATGCTCATCATACACTTACATTACTTCCAGTTTCAGACCTACAAGATTTTAAGTGCTTTATTTTTGTTGCACAGAGTTTACCATGGCCATGTATTGTGGGTCCCTTCTCACCACAGCATGGTGTGTCCTCAGGTTGCAGATGGAGGAGACAACCTCCAGATATGGAGGGTAGCTGCAAATATATTGAATAAGCAGTCACAGAGAGCTGACAAGGGGTGGTCCTCCAGCTTGGGGGTTGGGCGTGAAGCTAACAGCTCCTCAGTATAAAAATAATAAATTGTTACAAAATGTTACACATGGCCTCGGACTGATTCTTTGGAACGACCTAAGCGAAAGAAAATGGACATGAGATTTGGCACTTGAAATGGAAGGATTCTGTATAGGGCAGGTTCACTGGGAACAGTTTCAAGTGAATTAGCAAGGTACGAGGTGCGATCGGAAAGTTTCAAGACTGCGCCTATAAAAACCCGTACACTTATCTCAGGTATTAAATTCATCCATCACCCTCGAAGTAGTTCCCCTGGGAGTGAACACAACGATCCCAGCGCCGCTGCCAAGCCTGGAAGCATCCCGGGAAATCTTTCTTTGTCAGCCTGTCAAGCACCATCTGCGATTCTGCCTGAAGCTCTTCTATCGTCTCAAATCTCCTTCCCTTTAGCTGAATTTTCATCTTGGGGAAGAGGAAGAAGTCACACGGAGCTAAATCCGACGAATAAGGAGGGTGCGGGATGACGGCCATAGTGTTTGAGGCCAAAAACTGCCGAACTTTGAGGGCGGTGTGCGCTGGCGCGTTGTCATGATGCAGCAGCCAGTTGTGGTTGCGCCACTTTGACGGCCGCTTCCGTCCTTTAGAATCA